CAGGAGGGCACAATTATTGTTTTTAATAATTGTTTTTTCATTGAGACTTTATTTGAAAATTTAAATATAGCTTAAATTATTTTAGATATAAACCTGAAATATCTCATAAGGGAAACACTTTTAAAGCCCATACATTGTAGGAAACATTATCATATTATGTAGTAATTTTTAAAGATAGCTAAAATTATAGAAGCACTATTGAGCGCATTATTTAACTGCTTATAGTTAAAATCTATAAATATGTAAATACTATTCTTTTAATTTTATTTAGTTAACAGTATATTTAAAACAGATTTTTTTTAAATGCTCTTATGTATATTTAAATGTTTTTTATTTACTGAATGCAATATTAAGTACCTTGTTTCAATGTCGTCTATTTTGATGGAATTATTTGACAAACAAATTTATTGATTATTCAAATTAGTTGTCCCTATTGGTAAGTGTGACGAATTGTCTTGAAACCCCATTACTGAAATAGTAACGATTATGGTGGGGAATAGTTTCAGGTGGATTATTTTACTGACAAAATTTTAATATTTCCTGTAATTTATGTTTTGCAATCTTGAGTAACAATCATGAAAGTGGAATGTGGAACATAATTGAAAAAAATCCATGGACGACCAGTCATACTTAACTTTTGAAGAACTATTGCTCATTGTTTGTAAAATATTAATTCTGACTTCCATGAACAAATCTTCTTTTGGAATGTCACACCAGTTCGTAAAAAGATTACTATGAAAAAAAAATCCAACTTAATAGATCCGAGGCGTATGCTACAAAGTCCGACGGTATGAAGATTCTGCTATTCGAGAGAATGATATCGAGAATTGATGGGATATATGAACGAACCGGTGGGAGAAGCACATTGGGAAGAAATTGTTCTTTCATTACAAAAAGACTTCACCGGGCCGGATTCGAATGATTACACACGAAATCCCGAAAATATTATGGCTGAGAAACTCCGTCAAACCAGAGAAACTGTTAGACCCAAAGCAAGATTGTTGGGCGGACTGTTAGGACTGATGCGAGGTTCGCCCTTAACTCCAGAAATAAGGCCGTTGTAGGACCAATAGGAGACAAAGGTTCACTAAGAGGGTTGTTGTGCATTCGATGTATGTGTGCAATGGGCAGCTTAGTGCCAGTTGAGGGTTTGTGTTTAACGAAACCATTATACAATTAAACACTTCATCTATATTATTTATTTTACCATCAAGGCTCTTGGAATTTTCAATTTATTTTCTGATTGGCAATATTCTTACAATAAATTATTAAATATAAAGTCCAATTTTTTTTTTAATAATGTTGGATATGAAGCCTGTTTAACATTCGATTTCTGCAAAATCTTCCGTGTATAGACCCTTCTTATCATTCGTAAACTCCAACTTTACGATCACTCTGTAACTGCAACTACTTTATTTAAGAAAACTCTTGGAATTGGTACATTTTCAATCTTGAGATCGGCAAACTTTATCTATTTAACTAGGTATTAAAAACTCGTAAATTCCCATTTGCTCTCTACACTTGGATCATAAGATAGTTTGATGACAAAATCGAGAAAAAATGAGGCCTGCAAAAGTATCTGGTTGTTCGGCCTTTAGAACCTCGTTATTTTAAAATATTGGTGTAGGTAACGCCACACGGCTCAATATTTTTGAACGTCTTTTTTTTCTGTTGAAAAATCTTTTTTCTCGAGTCCGTGCTCAAATTACCTTACGATTCAAGTGGAAATCAAATGGTTATTTACGAGTTTTAGTACCTGATTAAATAAAACAAGTTCGACGATTTAAAACGCTCCAATTCCGAGCAGTTTCGTAAATAAAATATTTGTAGATTACCTTTGAGATGAATTTACGAAGTTTCAGGCGGATGTTAATAATTTGATAAAAGGGGTCTGAACCCCATGGACTATTATTAAGTAAAATAATTCTAGTTGTAGTACGGCAGAGTCGAACTCTACGCTCTCATTTTTAAATTAATAACTTTGAACGCCATTTTATCATTTCGCTCCTGCGGGATTGTTAGAAATAGTTATCGGAGAAGTGTTTGTAACTATGTTGTTCCCAGAAAGCTTTTATCTTCTTGATGATAATGAGCCAGAGGACGGGCTCAAGATAAAGTTATTTTTCTGCTGCCATATTCAAGAACTCAGCAGTATTAGCTAAGAATAAAGGAAACAGTTATATATTTTTGTAAAACAAAGACAGCTCGCAACTGTTAACAGAAGATATTAATTAAGTGTACCTACTACCTTTACTAAATAAATTAAATATTGAAATTGAGTAAAATTTCAATGTGTATTTTTTAACGCCTCTATTTGTTTGATAACACCCTGAGTTCAAAAGATACATTTGCAACCATCCTTCGTGCTGAAAATCTTCTTAAAGAGAGAAAACAGGTTAAAAAGTTATGACGAAAAGTAAATTTTATTTGCCCGTAACTTATAAAGTGTTCGATTCATGGTAAGTTATATCGGCGATCTTTTGAAAGATAATTAAATTATTTTCAAATAAAAAAAATCTGTCAACAATAATCAAATGATACGGCGTATTTAACTCTTTTGCATTATTTAGCATTTTGTTCCGTCCCGAATAGCTCTCTAGAAATTCGGGACACTGCCTGAAAAATCAGAACTGTAAAAATAATTATTTACATACAAATTATTTTTTTGTTTATAAGTTTATTGAATAATAATACAATCTTCCACATTGGAGAGAGCAAGCAATTATTAGGGATTATTCATGCAATATATTCATACGAAAGGAAAATAAATATATAAAAAATTATAAATATATATTACCGCCAATGACCCTCTAGGGTAGAGACAAATACAAATTAAAAAACAAAAGATATATGTATATATATATATAATAAAATAATTAGAAAAAATTAGATTAGATTGAAATTTAGTAAAAGTAAAATAAATTTTCTTAAACAATATTCTTACTAATGTACCTCCAATGTCCATCAAGAATTTATTTTTAGGTTAGCCGTAAAACTGAATTTACATTAATTTTAAACCAAAATAATAGAAAAATATTATGTTATATACTAAAATTTTTAAATAGAATAATAATAAGAAGGACTATATATATGATAGTATCCATATCGACTAGTAAACACTTTTTAAAACTGTATACACTGTTGATATTGTGCTTAGATGTTAGGAGCAAAAATTTAGAGCAAAGATGTGGTCTATAGATATTTTTATATTTTCTACTGCAAAGGTTATATCTTTTGTTTTGTGTTTTGATTTTTTAATGTGTTACTATTTTTTGTTAGGAAATTACTAATGATGAAAAAAAAATGTTTAGGGCAATAATAGAATCACCTTTTATTTCATTTTTTTTTCTTTTACTAGGAAGGTAATGTTATTTTAGATGCATAATTGTTTGGAAATAATAAACCATTATGAAATAATTTGAAGCGTTTTTGAAGATGTAACAGAACTTAATCTTTCTTATTATTGGAACGAAACTTAAAGTAACATCAATAGAAATTTCTAATTCCAAACATATGTAAGAATAATATTTTGTTATATTACTGCTACCAATCAATTATTTTACTCCGATCATTTAAATTAAATACAAGCTCAAATTAGTTAACATATCGTCTTTATTTATCTATAATTGATCATTTTTATTTATTACTTTATTTAAATATATTTTATAATTGTATTATTCTAAAATAAAATTATTATAATTATTTTGTATATATTTTATGCTAGGCAAATGGCACTGTAATTCTATATTATTCTGAATGTACTCATTTTCCTAGAATAAAATATACTTTTTATCAAAATTAGATTGTCGATTAGAGCTTCCAACATTCAAAAGATGTGTTTACATTATTATTGGAGCATTTCGATCAACTTCTTGAGTTGAGCATTGGGTCCTAGAATTCTTCTAGTCGATGACGTAACACTCAAACCAGTTTCGTCGGCTTTAATTCATCTTGTGCTTTTCAAGCCATGGAACTGACTCATTCGTGTTTAACTTGTAAAATAATTTTTCAACAGGAAAACTATTGTTTTCTGGATTGAAAAAAATGGAAATAAAAAATTAAGATGTGTGCTTTAGACCGCACGATAGGAGTGAATCCATCAGTAAGGCGAGATTAATAATATGAAATATAAATTACAAATAATAGCTCATTATAATGGGGATGGAATGCTGAACATTTCCCTTATAAAACTCGTTATAATTTGGTTTGCTACACAATTTTTTTCGTCTCCCTAACACGACGTCGCTTTAAGACACAATTCTGAACAATTCCCTCGCTTGCAGCATGCACGTGCAATTTTTAGTTTCTGGGATATTTTAATCCATGTCTTAAATAAACCTTGTTATAATTTGGTTTTCGACACTGTTTTTTTGCCTCGCTTACAGTATACATGTTAGTTTTTGAGATATTTTAATTCATATACAAAAACACTTCAATTAGTCGACTCAAACCGAGCATTACACATCGTAGATCTGACGGCTCAATCTGATTCGCTCTCCACAAAAAAAAAATATGCAAACGTGCCTAAAGAAGTTTTCACTTAAAAAATGGACTCAAAGTCTTTTGGTGCTTTATTCGAACATGTTTCTAATTTAGAAAGATTTGAGTTCAGTTATGTTAACCATCTGGTTTTATCTTGATTCAATAAAAAAGGATCAGCTACTTTGTAGAGGCTGGATGTGTTCCTGAAGGTTTTGATAACTTCCTAGTTTATCCCAACTACAGTGAACTATCCTGCTTCATAGCTTTCTTAATTAAGATTAAAGTAGTAAGAAATTGAATGATTTAAGGTGACATGTCATATTTGAGGAAGCACTGAATACATCTCAACACTTAACAACATTTATTTTTGTTTAACAAGTTGATAGAAAGTATGTTGGGAATCACTTTATAACATATAGGGAGGTTATCTTTTATTATTACCTTCCTCCAAAGACTTGGAATTTTCTAACTGATTACTCAGTTTAAGCAGCCTTAAAATAAAAGGGAATTGTAAATTCTTAACTGCCAGCTCGGATATAGTTTACGCTCTTGGGTTTCAGTGCTATTCTTATGGGGTCGTATCCTCCGTCCCGTAAATTGTCGCCATCTGGGTCTTCCATTCCCGATGCCCTTGGTTCTATCCGGATATCCATATAGCAGAGGAGCGTCGTAAAAGATCTTATAAACAGAATAGCTATTGTTTGTGCTCGGGTCTTCCATGCTCTCATAGATGGATATACCGTGCGAAAATAGATTCCGTTTTTGTTGTATATTTGATTTCCATCCTATTTCTCTGCAAGTGGATACCGAGAAGCTATTGGCTTCGATACCTAAGATTATAAATAAACAAAAGTTTTTATATATTTTTAAATTAATGAAAATTAAATTTTGTTATGTAGTTAGGCCTTTCCTTTTTTTTTTTTTTTTTTTTGTTAAACGCTAGGACACAAATCTGTCTAAATCCTTTATAATGATATGAACTATTGCTTGGTGTACGAATTTCACATGTATCCATTTATTTATTCTATTACTTCATTGCAATTTATATATTCTTTTTTCTAGGAAGTTGTTTATTTATTTTTAGTTATTTGGCAATAATAACTTCCAATCGGTAACAATTGAGTATATTTCTATTATCAACGTTACATGTTAACAAGTTAGTTGACGTTTCGGGATATGGGACACCCAATTATTGGTCAAAAGCAGGATGTTGCTCTAGATGATACATTTTATAACATGAATTAGAAATTTGACGATGGAGCACATTATTATTAATTTTAAGCCTTGCATCCACAAGATTATTGGAATTGCAGTTCCGAAAATGGGAGTAAATATCCCGAAACGTCAACTAACTTGTTAACACGTAACGTTGGTAATATAAATATACTAAATTGTTACCAATTTCAACTTATTATTGCCAAATAACTAAAAACAATTTATATAAATTTTGATCTGTAATATTTTTACCAAAATTAATATTGAAATCCTTCCCCAACCCTTTCACTTATCTAATAAATGTGTCAGTACTTGAATATCTTCAGTGCTCGAACCACGCCCTGATGATGATCCACATGTTTGGATTGAAACGTCGGCATTAAATAAAACTTCATAATGACTTCGTCCTGAATATTTATCACCCAATATACCTGAAGGGATGTATTTATGAATGTCGAACAATCTTATCGATGCAAATGCATCTTAAATAGGTGGATAAATTTAACGCAAATCCAGATATTTTACACTTATCCGGATTTTGCAGAAGGAAAATTCATCGAATTGCTTTATCAAATCGACATCTACATTTCTATTCCTGTAAATACAATTGTATTAGATCTATTATAAATTATTTCCGTTAATAAGCTTGGTACATATATCCATAACTACAAACGAAAAACAACACTTTCCATTGTATGCAATAATAAAACTTTCCTTAGATTGAAACCACTTATTAATACACTGATATATTGAGTTCAATGAAAATTATTAGGGCCATTTTTCGTAGTAAAATATTAAAAATCTGTTTAATTGATGATGTTAAGTGCCTCTTCCGGTTTGATGATTTAGACGAAAACGTTGCTGTAACATTCTATTAATTTTAATGTTAAAAATATTTATTGAAGGAACTTAAACGACTCTTCTACATATCGGTGACAAATATTCAGGAAGCAGTCATTTTAAGATTTTTATTATTGTTGACGTTTTAAACTGAAGCATGTGGGTCATCATCTAGGCATGTTTCCAGCACTGAAGATAACATACACTGATGACGACCCACATGCTTAGGTTGAAACATCCGCAACAATAAAAATCTTACAATGACTGTGTCCTGGACTATTTATCACCTATGATAAAACTATTTATTATTGAGCAAACAATAAAAAAACAAATAATTCTTAATTTAAAACAACCTTCTACGTACCCCAGTTTAAATCATTGAATTCGTATTTATTTCTTATATGTAATAATTGTATACTATTGTGTACTACTTTGTTATTGTCGTCTGATTAAATTATCATCAATATTTATTTATTGATATGATAGTAATAATTTGTTTGAATACTTATTTTTAAAGCTGCCTGTGTTGGACAATTGCATTGCTCAACTATCGTTTTAAATAAATATGTGGATACGTGATCACAGTGGAATTCCTGGAAATGAAAATGCACACACAGGAAAAACGAGCAATGAAAAATTGTCAAGTATTTTCAGTAAGTGATTGCAGCTATCTAATATCTTGGATCAATGATAAAAGATGGCTAGAGTGGCAAATTCAATGGTTTGGCACGAGAGAAAATTAATTAAGAAAAATCGGACAAAATGTTAAACATCCAAGAAAGATCTACAGCAATCATGAAGAAAATAGGTAGTTCTTACCCGCCTCAGGATTGGCCATTGTCGACTTATCCATGGATATCTGATGAAGAAGGAAGAACCGTCAACATGTTCCTACTGTGGGTGTATTCTAAGTGCTTCACATACTAACAAAGTGTATGGCTCACGACTCCTACAGCTTCTCCACAGACCCAGAACAAATATTGAGATATGGCCCAGACACGACCTCAAGACTTATTAAATTTTTAAAAACTATCTGCATATATAATAAAATTGAAAAAAAACAACACAACAATTGACTAAAGAGGCTTCGATGTAAACGACCCTAGTGATCGAAACACTCAAATAAATATAAAATTTGCTATTAAAATAATTTAAATTAAATTTTAATTAAATATATTAAGGATGAAAAAAATTATCAGGATTTACAGTCACAAATTTCTATAACAAGTTAGGCGGTGTTTCGACCCAACATGTGGGTCACCATCAGGTCTAAAAATTAAAAAAATATAAAATGATAGTCATAAGAATGAAGAATAACAATAATAATATAATAAACCGTGGTTAAAAAATAATATTATAACAGTAATAAGAAAAAGCCTTTTTCTTTTCTTATACTTTTATATTTATTATTCTGATGTTATTCTCTAGTCATATTACTTATACTTTAATATTCATCATTTTTCTTTTATATTTTTTAATTTTTAGTGCTGATTTTGATTCGCATGTTTGAGTCGAAACGTCGGCTAACTCATAAAAGAAATTTTGAACCGCAAATCCTGACGATTTTTTTCATCCTTTCTAATTAAAGTTATAATTTTTGTGAAATAAATTAATATTATCCTTGAACTTTGGGAATCTTCAAAAACATCAAATTCTTCTCGTATCCAATACATACAATCCAAAATCCTCCCTAAAATCCTAAATGTTCCTAATGATGTAACAAATGAAATTATTCATAAAGAACTCAACATTCCTCTTGTGGAAGACTTGGCCCGAACTAGATATATCTCTTTTCATTCCAAACTCTTTGGTCACCTCATTCCTCTACTTTGTAACCTATCCTCCATAATTCCTGACAACCCTCCGAGGCGTCTGGAAAGCAGATGGCCAAGGGACCTCCTAAATTAATTTATCATTGAAGTGTTACCAATGGGTAGCTTCTTCACAAGTACCTTCATGTTATATATTCCTATAGCAGATTTACTGGTTGTATGTATGTTTAAAGTTGTAAATTTCAATAAAATAATAAAAAAATTATCCTATAAGTTAACTGGTCCATTATAGGTTAAATTTATAGTTGTCTCTATTATTAATAGAATTAACAAAAATAGGTGATGATGCAGGGGACTCGTATCTATTGTGTGGTTGATCATAAAACAGTGGAGTGAAGACAGGGACGCTTATCACCATGACAACACGGAAGAAGGGTGTGGTGTAAACCCACCCCACCAGGTCTCCCAGCGCCCGTTTAATTAATTCCTCAATCGATAATTCGTTATTCAATTAATTAATAAAATAATTTATATATATATTTATACAATAATAATAATATAAGCTATATTATACATTATTTATAGAACATGAAGCCTCTCCAATGGAAGTAAGAATCTGGTTTTAACAAAAAAAGAATTGATAATAATTTATATATAAATTACAATTTCTTTCTTCAGAATTATTCAAACTTATATAAACATTAACATTAAAAAGTTAACACATATACATATTATATTTATGTATATAAATAATCTTGTAGGTTAGGATTTTATTTAAGATCACTTTGGTTTTATTAAAATAATTCCTTGTTATGTTAGTTGATAAGTGTTAAAATACGTTTGTTAGTATAATTTATTTATTAATGTTAAATTGTTCATGATGTTATTACAAAATTACGTAGTACGTTTTTTTTATATTATTTTTACTTACAACACTTCTTTTTTTTTAACTTTTAAGTCATGCCATCGTTTCTTTCACCAAATTCGTTATGTTAAAGTTATATTACTTGAAGTTTAAATTTCATTAATTGATTTCTACCAATGGGTAGTTTCTCTTCATGTTGTACATGCCATGTTACAAATTTCTCATTTACTTATTGTATTCTCTATGTAATACAGTTGTAAATTCCATTGAAATAATAAAAAAAAAAAAAAATTTCATTAAATAAAGTTTCCCATTATTTTTATTTGTGTATTTACTTTAACTTAACCTATGTCTATAATATATATTATCGGAAAAGTACTGCGATCGTGAAAAATTTGAAATGTTAGTTTGCAACGGAAATACATGTTTTGAAACCCGTGAGTCGAAATAACTAAGTCCCGCAAAATGTTCTGTGTGTGCGTGGACGGTCTAGCTACGAAATGCCTTAGCTATTGAAATTGCTTATTTAAGGTTTGTATATGCCTGGAATATTACAGCAACTTCGCTTATGTCGCTTAACCGGAAGTACCTCTTTATACTATCAATTTTACACATTTGTTTACTCCCTGCTTACTTAATAACGGTAAGTTATTTTTTTGACAAGTTTCTCGATAAATGTTTACAATAAAACTAATAATTTTTCTTAAAGATCTATTTCCTCCCTCCCCACAATCGTTAGTATTGTTTGGTACTATCCACAGTCGTCAAAGTAAATGGAATGTAGGGCAAACGTATAAATTTAACATATTCGATGATCGGAAAAAAACATGGTAATTGTCTTAAATGAAGTAATATCGTAGTCACTTTGACTCCCTATATATAGGAAATACTTATCTACTCTAAGGTTGGTATGTGAAAGTTGTGTGATGCACGCACCGCTCTAGCTTTTTTCGTTTACATTTCCGATTAATGCATAACTTTTGATTATTAAAGTTTCTTAAACTACCATTTTGTAAGAATCTGTTTTTCTCTAATA